GGGTCTGACTTCTTGTGACGCCGTGTGACGACGGGGGGCGTCAAAAATCGCGTGACGTCATTTATGGACGGCCCCTATAACCTGTCAGAACAGCCTTCAGCACTTCTCGTGGCCTCACGGTGCACTTCGCCTGGCACGAGCGCCGTGGTGACGTCGCCGCCACTTATTGGCGAACGGCGGGTGTTGCTGTGAGCGATGACAGTGGTGGTGGCAAGAATAGGTGCCAATCCCTAACAACACTTGCACCAAAACAGTGTGTGTTAAGGCTACACGGGGGATCTTTGCCTTTGGTGGCAATGATGGTGTGCACCGTGCGATGTTGGTGATGGTAGGGCTGGGGGATGGTGTGAATGTTTGTGGTCGTGTTGGTGTTGGCGGTAATAGTGGTGGTGGTGGTGACCGTGTTGGTTTGCGCAATGGGTTTTGCCTAAGCCAGAGTGAACGAGTGGGCAGGCGCTACGATCTGTCAGATGCGGCAATTCCTCGCTCAACGCCTGTTTTCGCCATTAACGCGGTACTCCCATTCCAGAATACTTTTTCGCACAACGCGGAACGCGCCCCGTTATAACGCGGAACGTGCCCCGTTATAACGTGGTTTCTGAGCGGTCGACGGCGAACTACATCCTTGAGCTGCGCGGCTGAGCGGTGCTGTGATGCGGCACGCGCAATGATACAGTGAAGTGGCTGAGTACCCTCAGTAACCTGTCCCGCCATATCACTGCGTGTGCGTAGTAATAGTAGTAACATCGTACCTAGCCAAACTTTCTCGGTACGTTATTGATGGGGGAAATTGTTTTCGCTTAACGCGTTTTTCGCTTAACCGGGCACTTTTCAGGAACGCATCTACTAACGAGGAGTTACTGTGCATTGAAGTATCCAAATGGGGGGCTTGTGTGTGTACACTAGGTGTGGAGTTATCAATTAATATGTACCGTATGTCTAGACTATTTTTTTACGAAACTATATTTTTTATTTTACCAGATAAGGCCCACTGAGCTATTTAGCTCTTTTTTCAGAAGCGACCTGACCGCAAATGATAGCTTATCGAAGTGGCTTATCACGTGTACATTTATAGCAGCCAAATACGCACGTTTCTAAATGTGGAGGGGAAAACCGGAGGACCTGGAGAATAATCCACGCGACCGTGGGTAGAGAGACATGCAATCCCCAAATATATAGGCGTCAGGGTCGGGGTCGAGATCGAACCCACGAACCTCCTGTACACCAGGCGAGGTGGTTAACATCTCGCCACTGTGGCGCCCCAGATATCGACGCAGCTTGCTTCGTTCGCATCCACGTGAACTTAATTGCCACGAGGTTGCACCACGTCCAGATTATAAGATGCACCCCAAACGTGCGCCTGGTGGCGTCAATTATTAAATGTACACAGATCTGGCCAAATACGCACACACCTACCGGATTATAAGACGCACCCCGCCAACTTTTACTTGAAAAGTTCACGGCCGAAAAAAAGTCATTGGGCCTATCGCTGATGCCACGCACAATTTGTGCGCAATTGGCACGAATGAAAAAAAATGCTTACAGTAATTATATTTGTGGAATGCTAACGCCTCCTTCTTTGAGTGACTAATATCGGGATGGTCCATCGTAATAAGCATGGCCTGGCTCCCGTGTATAATTTTAAAAAACGGGGAAACTTTGTTACTGCCCCATCATGATCACAAGAGCATTGTGTGTGTGTGACTCAAAGATCCTTCCTCTTTTGTTGGAGGGGAGGGGTGGTGGGCAGGGGGTGAGAGGGAGGGGCTGGACAGGAGGGGGGGGATGTGACTGCGTATAAACGAGAAACACTCGGTACCTATATGGTTGTAGTAAAAACATAATCATATTTTGTTTTGTTATTGAACGATGTTAAAGGTTTAATGTTTGGTGTATACTCATTTATGTACAGGAGTCTTCGTTTTATATGAAGGCGTCTTTAATATAAATGAAGTTTGATTGATTAATAGGTGTTGTCGCGATATGACTATACTGCGATATTATATCGTACTAATATTCGATCCACGATAAAACCGTATGGACCGTTTTCTTAAACGCCGTGGCAGTATATCGTTCGAAAATAATCGCTGAATAGGTTGCATTCATTTCTACGTGTATATATATACCGTATAATAATAATACGAATTTTAAAAAAGATTTATGAATTAACATGATCACATTGCTAAATATATATTCTACCAATTCAATGAGTTCTATGCAAATAGCAATGCAAATTCCCGTGCAAGTGACGTTTCGGCGGGTGACATGACGTCATCATTTTCGGTTGTCTGTTGATTCATTAATCGAGCACTGCTGCGTTAGTGATCTGAGTTGCGCACGTGCGTTCGAGATTTGTGCGACTGTGAGATCTCACGGATTATTATGGGTACCCACGGGGCTTATGTTGACCGAGATGTAGTTAATGGACTTTTGAAAGTACAGTACTGGACTGTAGTTAAATTTTTATTTGCACTCGGAAAGTACAGCGCAAAAACAAACGATTATTACAGTAAATAATACTGCAACATAAATGGCAAACATTACAAGGGTTGCGGGCAATTGATATCGTTGTCATCGTGGAAATTGATATTGTGGAAATTATTATAGTATCGTGAAATATTACATCAAGTTTCTCTCATAACGTACGGTATGCTAAACGAAAGCTATATATTTTTTCATTTTACCAGTTAAGGCCCACTGAGCTATGTATATAGTTATTTTTTTAGAAGCGATTTGGCCACATATTATAGCTCAACGAAGTGGCTTATCGCGTGGAAATGTATAGCAGCCAAATACTCTAAACGCGTGTTTATAAATATGGAGGGCAAAACCGGAGGACCCGGAGAAAAATCCACGCCACCGCGAGGAGAGAAAGACATGTAAACTGCAAATATGCAACAACAGGCGTCGGGATCGAACCCACGAAAGCCCGCACACCAGGCGAGGTAGTTAACATCCCGCCAATCTGGCGCCCCAAGTATCCACTGGGGGGCGAGTCGGAGGGGGTACGTGGTTCGGACAGAAACCCAGAAAGGAAAAGCCTTCTCAATTTTAACGGAGTTACGCTGCATTGTGTTCACAGCTATAATACTTTTGAGAACAAATCGCATTGTTCTTCGGCCAAGAGTTGTCTCTCTTGAGATGCCACAGTAATGGCACGACGACAAACACACACAAAAAAACCGCAAGTGAAAATTCTAATCGTGCCTCTTGACTCGGCCGCTCGCGGCTTCTTTTCCAGTAGCCCGTTTTATTTCTGACAGCGCGTCCCTCGGCTTTCCAGTGTGTTTTTAGTTACAGCGACAAATAATCGGCATGAAGTGGCGGTTATTCGGAAGCAAATGAATGAGGGACAGCCATAGGACCTATGAAACGGGTCAGTAAAAAATAATATAAAAACGAAACTACATTTTTATTTTACCAGGTCAGGCCCACTGAGCTTTATAGATCTATTTCAGAAGCGACCTGGCCACAAATGATAACCCAACGAAGTGGCTTATCGCGTGGAAATTTCTAGCAGCAGAACATGCAAACTCCAAATTGCCAGGCGTCAGGATCGGGATCGAACCTACGACCGCCTGTATACCGGGCGAGGGAGTTAACATCTCGTCATGCATGCTTCTCACAGACACGTTGGTAACATACAGCTGTGTACGCCTAAGGCTTCATTTCTCATGGAATACCTCATGAGGACGGAGGGGAGGGAGGGCTAGGAAATATTTTCCGGAGCTCAGCCCCAGCCAGCTCCGGTTGCAATGAAGCCCTTTATGCGTCCGCTTGTCTTGTGTTGCTGTAGACATTTAGTACGCAGTGTCAAGTCAGAATCAAATTCTGTATTTATACTGGAGGAATCCGATGACCTATAAAGCTCTTTTTCACAGATGTCCAGTAGGGGCAAGTGTAAGTGTAAATGAGCTACACGTCACAGGCAGTTTAATTCGGAGACTACTTCAAGAACACCACTCGTGGCGATCAAAGTAACACGATTCAATGTTATTCTAATTAACAAGGATATTCCCTCTTTACCAACCTGCCCTGGCCAGTGTGGTGAAGTATGGTCAAACAATCCCCATGACTGACATTGCATGGGGAGGGAAGGCCTTCATCCAGCAGTGGATAGACACAATGGGAAGGTTGCGAATTCAAATCCGGTTTGGGAGTAGACTCAGCCCATCATCCTTCTGGGGTCGATAAAATAGAGAACCTCTCCGTGGAAAAGTGAACAGCGGTTGTCCTCTTGAGAGACTCGCCATAGGAACGTGGAATTTCCACCATCGGCTCAGGACTGTAAACAGGAGATGGGGGCGGTCAGAGGGGGGGGGGCTTAATTTCCAGGCTCAGCTGACCCCCAAACCAATCCGGGGGGGGGGGGGTGGGAAATTGATAAACTATTTTCCGTAGCTCAGCCCATGAGAGCTCGGGTTGAATCACGTACGAAGTTGTCTGCAGTTGTTTAATTGGCGAGGGAGCGCTTCCGATTCGTAAACAATCGCGACCCGTTCCGCCGCAGGTTTTTGTTTAGTTCATCGGCAAAAGACACCGCACCGCACGCACCGCACAGACACCCCCCCCATCTCCTCCCCCCACACCGCCGCCTCCGCAAAGTATCTTCTTACAAACGTCAACACAACGACGGCCACTAACAAACGAGCCCTTTTGTCAGCGCGGGGGTCTGTTGGGAGGAAGGGCAACCCGCCTGGACGCAAAGCGGTGTTGTCGTCGTCGTTCGAGTTCAACGGAGCGACAGGGAGGAGGAGGAGGAAGAGGAGGAGGGAGGGAGGATGGGGTTTATTATTTGTTTGGAATATATATTATTATTGTGTCAAGAAGCGTCGTCAAAGGACGGCGATGATGCCATTGGGCTAGCGGTGGCGAAACGCGCGACTTGCTCCGGTGAGCGGGGGCGATTGGTGGGAGCTGTGGTTGGAGGAGGTTTGAGGAAGGGGGGGGGGGAGAGGCGTGATTATTGAGGATGCAAACACAGCACGCGGGGGGTTTTGTGTGCGAGCGTGAGCGGACGAGTGAGTGAGTGAGTGCGGGGTTGGGGTGGTAGCCGAGAGAGATCGGCTGCAAGTGCATGGATCTCGGGGCTGGCGCGTAGTCGTATCGGGGCTGGCGCGCAAACGAATCGCAAGCGACGAGCGGTGTTCCGCTACTCGGCCGTCGTGTTATTGTCAACCGCAGATCCATCGTCGTCGTCGTCATCATAAGGAATCGTCAACAAAGTCATCAGCATTGTCATTCGAATCATAATTGTCACCGTCATCGCCGTCATCATCATCATCATCCCAGCGCAGCAAAGTGCTGCCACCACAAGCACCACCACATCACAATCATCATCGGAGCCACCAATCAGCGGTGTCATCATTGTCCGTGTCATTATCATCATCATCATCATCCTCCTCCAAGCGCAGCAAAGTGCCGCCGCACACCAAAGAAAGTTAGACAACGACCCGACACTGCCAGCCAGCGGCTGTTCACCTCCAAACTCACCGCGCGCGCGGTCCTTACTCACCATCCTCCTCCTCCTGCTTCTCTCTGCAAACTCCGGCTTCGCCCCGGGCCAACCCCGCGCCGCGTGTCACCAGGAGTCGTCTCGGACCGCCCGTCTCCGCTGTCTCCGCGAGAGAACAGCCCCCCGGCCATGCTGCCCAAGGCGTCCGATTTGCACTGCGATCTATTCCCGGTGGGCCACGCCATGGACTCGCTGCACGAGCACTCGATGGTGGGACACAGAGTCGGTAAGCGGCGGGAGGGAGCATCGACTGGCTAAGTGACCGGGTGACTGGCTGAGTGGCTGGCCGAGTGAGTGACTTGCGCGATTGGCTTTGCGGTTGAGTGACTGACTGATTTGGTTAGCTTGAGTGCGTTCAGCTGACTCAAGAGATGGACATTCACGTATCTATTCACTCGAATACACACCCACACCGAGATAGACACATACACGCACAGAGATACACGCAATGTACATACATACAGTATACGTTCATCCAAAACAGAGATACGCTAACAGGAAGACTCATTCACTCGGGCAGATGAAGACTCGCAGATGCACACTCATTCAAACCGAGACGCAAACATACGCAGAGATGCATTGTCACACTCACACAGATACATACAAAGACAACGTTCCCCACCTATCTACTCGAACAGACTGTTGGGCGAAGTGCTGTTAGCACCTTACGAAGGCCGGGACGGGCCACGAGGGGGTGAGTGACCAGCACCACGCCCGGCCGCCTTCGTCTTCCTAGTGGCGATATTTACGCATCGCACCAGGTATTAATTTGAGGCCGAGCCTACCTAGGGGAGGTCCAGGACCGGTTCAGATGATCGTCACTAGTGTCGGGTTCGTAGCGCAGCTCGCTAGGCGTTGGACTACCGCCCCCCCCCCCCACACACAGATGCATTCACTCATTCTCACTGGTTCGCCTGCCCACTCGGTCACTGACTCATCTTTACGATCACTGGAGCGTGCTCACGTACACGCACGCACGCGTGCACCGCGGGTTGTCGTCTTGAGGTGTGCGCATGTGAATCGTCGCTATTGTAACGCCAGACTATGTTGGGGGGGGGGGGGGGTAAGACTGTGTTTGAAATACGTTGATGAAACTGTGTGTGTTCCATTATTTCCGTAGTGTAGGGGGAGCGGTGGTGTAGCGGTTAGCGCGCTGCGCTACGAACCCGCTCACGGCCAACACCGGTGACGATCATCTGAACCGGTCCTGGGCCTCCCCTAGGTCGACTCAGTCTCAAATGAGTACCTGGTGCGGTGTGTAAACATCGCCACTGGGGAGACAAAGGCGATCGGGCGTGGTGCTGGCCACCCACCCCCTCGTGTACCGTCCTGGCCTTCATAGGCGCTCGCTAACAGCACTTGCGCGTACAGTCTGTTAAGGCTATACGGGGGATCTTTGTCTTGTCACCTTATCTCCACGCATGTGAATCGTTAACTCAGCCGATGTATGGTGCTTAGCGAAGGTTCGATTCCTGACTCCCGAACTCACTCAGAGATGAATTCGTTCAGGAACGATACCACACTCGCACAGAGACGCACGCGTACGCGGACTCGCACTCGCTCAGATATTTCACTCGGAGAGATGCACGCACTCGGAGACACCCACACTCAGGGTTGTACATCACCATTAGTATCGTGAGCAGAGTCACGTTGGTCGATGGTCCAGAACTCCGCCGATTCACTCCGGCCACTCAACTCACTCACTGGCAGTCAGTCGCCTCCATATCACTCTTCTATCGCTTCTACCATGTTTACCGTTCCCGTGAACTTCACACTCGTCGGATTCATCCACCCGTCTTGACGACTCGCGTCTACCAGACACCGACTCCTTCGTCTCATCCATCACACTGTTTTCAACCACCAACACTGCCCGTTACAACAACTCACTCACTCGCTCACTTATTCACTCACCCACCCACAATCACCGACTCACCACGCTGCACGTTTACAATCCTTCTCTTTATGATTCTACTCTCACCTCACACTTCTCCCCCCTGGAATCCCCCCCCCCCTCCTACCTCCATCGTCTATTTTCCCATTTATATAACTGTCCTCCATCCAAGAAACGTATTAACTGTGATCCTCTTACATCTTAAATAGTGCTGTGTGTTGCGGGCCGCTTGGCGTTTGGGCCTTTGGCCACGGGCTCAGCAATCGTGACTTCAAAGCGTCATCATTCATCACGTGCATCTCGTCTTCCACTCGCACTCCTCGTTGATGACCCGCCCATACTGAACATTTGTGAACATAAAAGAGCTTCATAGCTCATCGGATTCCTGCAGGCTCTAATAAACATTCTGATTGCGATTCATTGACACACACAAGTACACACACGCCGGGCAGATAACATTGCCCCAAAAGTATTTCAAAAGGTACCTGAAAGGAAGGCTTGGGTCTGTTTGCAATTCTCTCTTTAACATTTAATTTCCAATGGGACAGAATCCTGCGCGCACAGGATGTTCACTTTATACACGTGCATGATATTCACATTTCCTCCCCATAAATCTCTGCCTAGGTGAACCCACCGACAACACGCGCAGCCTCCTAAAGTTATTGCGCGCGCCCCCTCCAAGATCAAATCACCCACAACACGCGCTCGATCTCGCACGCTAAGCGGGCGTTGAGCCTGGCAAGCGCTCGGATGGTTGGGTGGCCACCGCAGGAGGCTGTGCGACGTGCTTGGGCAGCACAGAGGCAGGGCAGCTACATCAATTGTTGTACCCTACCGCTGTGTCCCCGCGTCTATGCTTAGAGCTTGCATCAACCTGCGCTGACTGACTACGCCTGGTGAAGCAGAGCGTTGTCAAATAACCCCCTGTGATCCGTAGCCCGTGTGTACAGCTTGCACTGGCAATAACAACAACGATTCTGATTATTATTTACAGCCCTTTGTAAATCCATTTATGTATGAAGCTGTCCCCAGGCTGTTTGACCATACTTCACCACGCTGGTCATTACGAGTAGTTGCAGTGTAAGGGCCCAGGACCGATTCCGTCACCGTTCGCCACTAATGTTGATAGCCGGGTTCATGGTGCAGAGAGTGCGCTAACCATTTGCGCCACCGCTCCACCGCAGCCTGCAGTGTGTGCGTGGATGAGTGTAATTCAAAGTCTTGTCCGTTCCACAAATGAGAAAACAAGAAGTGAGAGGAGTGGGGAAGCCCTCTCTTAAGTGCTCGGTGTGTGTATGGCTTTAGCACGTGCTTCGTGGAACCGTGCCGGAGAACCCCCCTGGGTTAACGCGCGAATGAGTTGGCATCCGAGCTAATAATGGTGATGTTACCACCACCAGCGGCAGCAGCAGCACAGGGAGATTGAATAACAAACAGATGGACGACATCGGATGGGCCGGCTGAGTCCACATTCAGTGGAGGAGGAGGACGACGACAACGTCACGGCGAGGAGTGGTGGATACGCAGTCACTGGCCCGAGACTGGTGACGGCATCGCGGTCAAAGGAGGGAGGGGTGGGGGAAGGGCATCCGAGCGGACGATCAGAGAGCGGGGATGCTTGGGATGATATTGGGATGAGATGAGCTTCAGGTGCAGGGGAGTGAAGGCGGATTGCGGCATCGCTGTCCCGTGAGCGATGACGACTGTGGGTAGGAGAGGGAGGCGTTCGTCCAGCGGTGGATAGCCCACGGCTCACGACGATGATGATGATGATTGCATGTACACGTTGTGTTAAAGTTGTGATGACACGGCCATATGCGTGGTGCACACGTGTATTCTCTTGTGTCGAGACGGCAGAAGCTTGAGTGACTGATGCGGGAATCTTGACGACGTTCTGGAAGTGCTACAAAGGTTGCATCTGCCACAAATACAGCGGAATGTAAAATTTTAAAACGTTACTGCAACATCTAAATATCGATATATCTGCTCGTGGCATTTTTTTGCGGCATCTCTCGGTACGCTGACGTCATCCTACGGTTTTACATTTACCACCGAGCTCGTGCTGAACCCGATTTTTTGTTTTACAATTGCGTCATCAGTGAAGCGAGTAGTGAGCCCCCATTCATTGCGACTGTAAAGTCTGTAAAGTCGCAATGAAGCGGTGAAACCCGCTGCTAAAGCGGTCGCCGCTTGTGAGCGCATTATATGACTACTAAACTGTGCAGTGTACACGCACGGTGCGATACGCGCGCGTGCTGTCCATATTGAAGGCACGCACGTGTGTAGAGTGTGGTGGTTAGCGCGCGCTGCGCTACGAACCCGGCTAGCCGAGTTCGATTCCTGCTCACGGCCAACAGCGGTAACGATTATCTGAACCGTTCATGGGCCGCCCCCCCCCCCCTAGGTCGACTCAGCCTCAAATTAGAACCTGGTGTGCCGTGTAAAACTTCACGATTGGGGAGGCAAAGGCGGCCGGGTGTGGTGCTGGCTACCCACCCCCGCGTGTGCCGTGCTAGCTAACATCACTTGGCCCAATAGTCTGTTCAAGCTATACGGAGGATCTTTGTCTTTGTGTTTTTTTTTGTATATACAAAGACACACATATATAACGCAATTAAAAATTTAAACCGCGTTTCATTATAAGTCGTTGCTCAGCACAGTACAGGGCCTTTTCGCTACGTTATTGCACCTGGGAATGGATGCCATTGCCAAGGGGATGGGAGATGTGGGGGTGATTGTTGGTGTGTGTGGTGAGTGGTGGTGTGTGTGAGGTTTGGTGGATGCTTGCTGGTATTGGGGTGAGCGATGGTGAGTGGTGGTGTGTGTTGATGCGGGGTGAGTGGTGGTGGTGTGTGGTGTGTGTTGATGCGGGGTGAGTGTTGGTGTGTGTGGTGTGTGTTGATGCGGGGTGAGTGGTGGTGTGTGGTGTGTGTTGATGCGGGGTGAGTGGTGGTGTGTGTTGATGCGGGGTGAGCGACGGTGAGTGTGTGGTGTGTGTTGATGCGGGGTGAGTGGTGGTGGTGTGTGGTGTGTGTTGATGCGGTGGGAGTGTTGGTGTGTGTGGTGTGTGTTGATGCGGGGTGAGTGGTGGTGTGTGGGGTGTGTTGATGCGGGGTGAGTGGTGGTGTGTGTGGTGTGTGTTGATGCGGGGTGAGTGGTGGTGGTGTGTGGTGTGTGTTGATGCGGGGTGAGTGGTGTGTGTTGATGCGGGGTGAGCGACGGTGAGTGTGTGGTGTGTGTTGATGCGGGGTGAGTGGTGGTGGTGTGTAGTGTGTGTTCATGCGGGGTGAGTGTTGGTGTGTGTGGTGTGTGTTGATGCGGGGTGAGTGGTGGTG